CTACCACCATTTTTAATGGAATAAAAATAAAAGGACAGAATAGGTCATAGTACATTTCATACAGTAAGTATAAATGTTGTTTCATTTAACTTTTATCTCAATTACCTTGGTAATACATGTGTGTTAGGTCACATTGTAACATTATTTCTTCTGTGTGTGTCCCCTTCTTTCACTGCAGTAGAGAGCTGATCCCTGCCCCTCTTTGCTCCAGCACGCAGCTTCTGCACAAGACTCATTACAATTTCTCAGCTTTGTCTGGCCTTATGCTTAGCTCTCCAGTCTGGCCCATACCCCACTGTCCCACACACCTGAGTATCTTGTACATCCAGCCCCCAAACTGTAGGTGATCATCTGGCTCCCCTCAGTTCCCAATCACTTGGAGCTGGGCCTCCTTCTTGCAAGCCCCATGCCAGCCCAGAAGTGGGCTAGACTGAAGATGCTTCATATTTTTTAATGAATATAAGCAAAACACTGCAGTTACTATATCCCAATTCCAGACTTCTAAGGTTAACAAACCACAAGCCTGCTGATGGCCACCCCCTGTGAGCTACCACAAGTCTTTTTTTGTGCCCATTGCCCACCTTACCCCAGAACGAGTTTTGTCAGATGCTTATCCGTGCTGTTGACATGAGGCCAATCAAGATTTCTTGATGGATACCCAACTTCATATTTTAGACCCGAGTATTTTTCCAACTTGTTCCTGATTGATTGTTACTTCTCAAAGCTTGTGAGAGAAGCTTTACATGTTAGGAAATGCAGTAGCCTTACACATTTGGAAGAAAACTCTGTTTTGCTTTTCTTTCCCAGTTCTAGAGTTAGAAAGGTCTGTGGAGGGTGGAGGACAGGGGGTGGTGGGAGGACAGGGCCTTGGCAGTGCTTAGCTCAGGCAAATCTTCATGGTACCTACAGTACTGCTGACAGCACCAGAGGACTTAGAACCCAACACCAATGGCTGTTCCCAGAGCACCATCCCCAGCCCAATATCCAGAGATCAGACTGCCTGGGGTTGGCCAAAGACTTGCCATTACAGGATGTTGTTACAGGAAAACCTCATGCCAGAAATGCCTAGACTGGGACTGAGAAGGTGGTAACAGAGAAGAGGACAGGTTTTAGTTGGAAAATCCTCCTGTTTCCCTTTCTCATGTGAGGTGGGCATTCTTGTTATGCTCATTTTACTGAGCCACCAAGAGGCAACATAACTTGCCCAAGCAAAATGTGATTCATTCAGCTCTTGCTTTTAATCAATACACTTTTGTTCCCTGTTTAGTTAACAGTAACAGCAGGTCCAGGATTCCCTGGCTGAAATCAAAGGATAGCATAGAAACAAAACACACGAGTCATTCCAGTGGCATATGTCCCTCTAAAAGGGACATATGTTCAAGCCCATTCTCCCCACTGAGCCTGATGTAGAGTTAACATTTGGTAGTGAGAATCAAGTTGGGGCAGTGCCTAGGCAGGGCTCAGAGTTCCAATAGTCATAAGCTGTTGTTTTTTTATTGTTGTGTTATTATTTTAAGTGGAAATGGTGTTGAGAAAGGAATGGCCACAAAGCAGAGAAGAGTCAGTGTGAGGAAGGAGAAACAGTCAACTAGGACAGGGTGGTCAGAGTTTAGCCATAGTCTCTCTGTGTTGCCATGACCGCAGCCACAGTCATGAGGCCATAAGAGGTGCTATGGCAGTGTGTTTACAGGTGGTGGCTGGATTCATATGTGGGCCGTACTGCTGGCTCCAGATCACTGAACTAGACCATTAACCAATCAGTCAATTCCACAGTTAGCAGTAGCCTTGTGTATTAGATTATAGGAAGAGAGTTTTTGGTCCCCCCACACCCATTTCCTCTTTACCCTCACAGTTAGGGAGGGTACAGAACTCATATCAGGATGCACAGCACCTGCTCAGCTCCTCCCACTCTGATCTCTGCAACTGGTGGGCATCAAGCCTGCACTGCCCTGCCCTGCCTGCCCTGCCCTGCATAAGGGTTTGGGGATTTCCAAACCCAAAACAACCAGAAGGGGATGACCCATCAGCTTGCTGGACTCCTTCCAGGGGAATAGCTGTATTCTTTGAAGGCCTGTCAGACCTCAGGAATGAAATCCTAAAGAGAAAGCTGCCCTCAGCTTCCTTTTCTGATGGACTTGCCATCTTGGAGAATTGGTAATAATAGCATTGCATCCAAGCTACAAATTTTGTTTGGCCTTCCATATTTATTTGTTTTTCTTTCCTGTCTCCTTCTGTTAGTCTGGGAACATCTTTAAAAAAACCTTTCAATGAGTGCTCCTAGTTGACGCTGCGGCCAGCCCTTCTCCATGTTTATAGGGAAACTGTCCCAGAGTCAGCTATAATTAGAAGTCAATTAAGTTAGAACCCCATGTGATGTTTTTGGAAGTCCTCCAAGCATCAGCTTGCCTTGGGAGAGCCTCTGGCCTGACTCAGTGGAAACTTGTCTCTGCTATACACTGTCTTAAAGGAAAGGCCAGGTTGTCAGTGAGTTCCCTCAGAGTGCAAGGGAACACGGACTCTAAGTTCCCTTTTGGCCTTTGTTTGCACCCTACACTACCCACCTAGTAAGACTGCATGTGAGGCCTCCCTCAGCTTCTCACTCTATCTACCCCAGCTTGCTCACTACTAGAAGGAAAGCATGCAGGATTTCACCATGCTGTGGGTGGGTGCTCAAATCTCACCTTCATCTATTTAGTGTCTTTCAAAAGTAAATGTGGTGTCCTAGCTGGTGTGGCTCAGGGGATCAAGTGCTGGCCTATGAATCAAAGGTTGCTGGGTCGATTCTCAATCAGAACACATGCCTGGGTTGCAGGCCAGGTCCCCAGTATGGGGTATGCGGGAGGCAACCACACATTGATATTTCTCTCTCACTCTTTTTCTCTCCCTCCCCCTCTGTCTAAAAATAAATAAATAGATAAAACCTAAATGCAGTGCTGAATTGCCAGACAGTATGCTGGAAAGTGCTAAAGGGCAAATTTTGTATCTCTTCAAAACATTCTTGAAACCTCACCTCCTCTCAAAGGCCACCTGATGTTACTTATTAGGTGAGAGACTATAGTCCAAGGTAACGGCACCAATAGGGGAAAGATCCTGGGAAAGATCCAGACCCCCTGGGACATCCTTCCCCTGCCCATGCTCTGAACAGAGATGCACTTCTTCCCCCACAAAATGTCTTTATTGTCCTTTTTCCTGATCATAAAGTTTATACGTACTCTTCTAAATCTTTCTGATAATAGGAACTATACAAAAAGGGAATTTTTCCCCAAAACTTCCCTCAATCCTTCTTCACCCCCACAATCTCATCACTGCCAAAAAATCTTTGTTGAAAATGCAGTGGATGTCACTCCATACCTGCTTCTGTGTATACAGAAACTTTTACAAATACAAACATGGACAATCTGTGTGATTCATTCCTGTCTTGACCCTGCACAGTGTTCCACTAGGTTTTTGTTAGTTGTAATAAGTAAGCAGGATAGCTAAAGCTTGATTTTACCAGATCTCTTCTTAAGGAAGTATGGGTGCTTGTTGCTTCTGCAGGAGGCAGGAGTGAGGGGGTGCACAGGCATACTGGAGGTGAGGGGACCCAGAGCCACATGCTCCCTGGAAGGGAGGCTGAAGCTAAGAGGCAGGTGGACTTGAAGCTCTTCAAATTTGTCCCTTCCTGGCCTCTTGCTATACATTTATGTACATTGCTTCTGCTAAATATGTATTCTCTCCTCCCTCTGCCAAATCTTACTGAGCAAGGTGCTAAGTCCTAGGGGAAAGGGTGAATTAGAAAAGAAGATCTACCATGTCCATGCAAGGAGTTTACTTGTTCTCACACCAGCCCCACCCAGCCACCCACCTAAGAGGCCCCTGATTTTCCTACTGCCCTTTCCCCAACTCCTGACTTGCACAGTCCTCCCTCTTTCTCAAATAAATTTCCAATAAATAATCTTTTGGCTGCTTTTCTCCCTAATGCCTTTAGGATATTGTATTGTAAAGATAAAGTTCAGGTTTTTTCTCCTTAAACAAACAAAAAGACTGGCTTTCCCATTTATCAGTTTCCTGTTTTGTGTTCCTCTGTAGTCATTTTGGGGTGATATTTAGGGACAACAGTGGCTCACTGAGAATAAGAGCATTCACAGGTGACTCATGGTCTGAGTCCATGGTTGATTCTGAAGGCTCCTCATATAACTCAGCATGCTGTTTTGTCACTAATTCATCCCCTCTGTCAAAGCAAGATAACAGCGACCAAGCATGTGCCTAGCCACTGGGGAATTTATGTACTCACATGAGCACCTTATCTCTCTTTGTATAGCCAGGCTCCAAGGTAAAATTGCTTTGACTTGGAAACATGTCTCCCATTCTGAAAGTGGAAAGGTGAAAAATAACACCTTCTCCTTCAAAGCAGTGCATTAATTTAGTGGTTGGGGGAAAGTATCTAAATGTCTAAGCTGTAGCCATCCTCTGTCTGTTAGCTGTGTGACCTTAAGCAAGTCACTAACATCTCTGGCTTCAGTTGTCTCAACTGTAAAGTTCAGTGGTTGGAATGATAAATTCTCCCAATCAATTTGACAGATGACCCTTTCTCTTACAGAGGAGCTAGGAGAACAGGAAGTAGGGTAGGGAGAAGGCACTATCTCCAGTTCTCCCCTGGATCCAGGGGATCAACACTAGCCTAGAGCACACATGCCAGAGTTCTTCAGACTCTCCCAGCAGATGAAACAATTAGTCATTGTCCAGCTTCGGCTGTGGCCTTGAGTGTGCTCTGGTCCCTCCTCTCTGGAGCTCTTTCCTAGGGATGGGGTAATACTGGGAAAGGGGCCAGTCAGTCCAAGGGGCCTGGGTTTAAATCTGCCTTTTCTTTTAGAGCATATCCATTCCTCACTCTTCTTCCTCAGAGTTTCCTCAGACCCAGGAGAATACAAAGAAGGCAGCCAGACCCAGAGCAGGAGTAGGGTCTTGGCCAGTCAGCCCTGGAGCTGCCTCAGGTCCTGAAGGATACTGCTACTGATGAAGTGTGTCTTTAAGGTGAACCTGTGGGAGAGAATGGCCCATGTGGGAGACTACAAGCAGATGCCCTGGCTCTCTGTCCTCTTGGTAAGTAGGTCACAGCACCTGCACTGCCCACACTGTACCCTTGGCCCAGAGAGTACCCATGGTGGCCCTGATGGAGATTCCAGTGGGAGCTCCCATTCAATCTGTGTCCATCACCAGCCACACTGCCTGGGGCAGGCTCCTTGGCTTAAGCCTCAGTTTGCCTGGCTATAAAATGAGAACAATAATAGCATTTTCTTCACTGAGTTCTGAGGATGCAAAAAGATAATGCCTGCAATGCCCTGAACAGTTCCTGTGTTCAAATTAAACTTCCCCGATTGGTCGCTCCCTTTAAAGGATTTCATGGATAGAAATGTCCTGAAATGCTTATTTGCATTGTGATGTACACAACCAAGCCTGTATGATGAGCCACACCTGTGAGCCAAACAGGTTAGAAAGACCCAGGCCTTCACCACAGGACTCCTCCTCAGGTAGAGAGGTACCATGTGACTGAGAGACCTGCTGTTCCAGAGGTTGGAGGAAGGAGCTGCCTCATTCATGACTTTGGAAAAAATGAAACAAAGATTTCTTAGGTGAAGATAGTTTGGATCATGCCTTGAAGACTGGATGGATGGAGAAAGGGGAGGCAGCAGTGAGGCCAGACTGTGCAGGCAAGGTTGCCTGCCCAGTTTATTAGTTAAAGTTCCAGGAGTTGAGGTACCAAATAAGTGCTGAATGAGTGGGTCTCCCATCATCAGGCTCCCTCCTCACCCAACCTTGGGGCTGTCTGGGCATTAACCCCAAGTAACTATGTGTATCTTCAAGAAGGTATGGAAGTCAAACAAACCACCCCTATCTTGTGGCAGGTATCTCTGATATGCTCTGCCAGAGCAGAATACTCCAACTGCGGTGAGAATGAGTACTACAACCAGACCACAGGGTTGTGCCATGAGTGTCCCCAGTGTGGGCCTGGGGAGGAACCATACCTGGTAAGGCCCCCCTCCTGGCCGACAGACTACAGTCCCCCTTGCCTGCCCAGGCCTGGTGAGCTCTCTCTCCTTCACAGGGTGTTGTCACCCTACCTTGGGTTGCTCTATATGTGGTCCCTAAGCTGAATCAGTGCACAGTGCAGCTGCTGTGCCCAATGTGTCTGACATGCCCAAAGACTGCAGGTTTGGTCATGGCAGGCACAACCACTGTACTCACCTGTGTCCTCTGTCCTCTTCCTTGGCCAGTCCTGTGGCTATGGCACCAAAGATGAGGACTATGGCTGCATCCCTTGCCCAGCAGAGAAGTTTTCCAAAGGAGGCTACCAGATATGCAGGCGCCACAAAGACTGCGAAGGCTTCTTCCGGGCCACTGTGCTGATGCCAGGAGACATGGAGAATGATGCTGAGTGTGGGCCTTGTCTCCCTGGGTAAGCACATGGTGCTCCAAACCACACCCTTGGACACATTCTGTAGAAAGCCCTTAGTATCTAATTGGTGAGGACCCCTGGGAACATGAGTAACTCAGGCCTGCAGTGTAGTGTCATACCTGCTGTCCCATTCTACAAGGGGCAGCTTGGTAGAGAGGAGGGCATATCCTTGGAATAAGGAAACTTGGCATCAAGGATGGTAAGTTCTGCCACCTTTCACAAACAGGCAGCTGACCCAACATCAGCTTCTATGTCCTTTAAGTAAACATCAGTCATAATAATATCTCCTGATTACCTAAATCAAACAAATTTGTTGACTACACAATGAGGTAATACATGGGGAATGCTTTGGAGAAAAAATGAAAATTATGTACAAAAGTATTATTTTTAGAATTTTTAGTGTACTGGGAAAAACTAAGGGTAAAAGCCACTGATAGTAATATTTGTCATATGGTACCTATAATTCCATCACAATACTGTTATGTATAAAAATCTTCTCAAAAAAGCAAAATGCAAATGCAATTAGCCTGAAAGACATAAAGATAAAATCTTCCCTTATACAAGCAGGACATATTAGCAAGTTCTGCTTGAGATAAGGAAAGTACAACCTAAACACCCAATAAACACCAAGTTTCTGCCATTGCTGCTGCCTCCCTCTAGTAACCATACAACATAATGCCTGCAAGGGCTACACAGAAACCAAAAGCCATGGTGAAGGTGAAAGGGTGATCAAGGTGTGATAGAAGTGGTAGAGGGTAGTGCTGGTGATGATGATGGAGGCAGTGATATTGGAGGCAGTCGTGGTGGAGGTGATGGTGTTGGTCATGGCAGCAGCAGCATTTCAAATAGGGCACTGTACTTTACAACCTACTTGTGTACCTGTCATCTCACCATATTGAATTGAGAGGAGGAAGAAAATAAGAATATATGCAAATGAGAACAGCAGGCATTAGTCTATAAGAAACAGGAAGAACAAAAGAGGCAGAAAGTCCCACCAATTTAAGAATAGGTTAAAAGCGAATAACTTTAAAATAAGAAAATATTTTATTTTATTTTAATATTTTATTTATTTATTTTTAGAGAGAGGGGAATGGAAGGAGAAAGGGAGAGAAAAATCAATGTGTGGTTGCCCCTCATGCCCCCCACTACTAGGGACTCAACCTGGGCCTCAACCCAGGCATGTGCCCTGATTGGGAATTGAACATGCTACCCTTTGGTTCACAGGCCGGCTCTCAATCCACTGAGCCACACCAGCCAGGGCTAAAATAAGAAGATATTCTAAACTCGCAGAAATTAACCTTAGTTCAAATTTGTTACTGTGAAGCATCCATTCCCATGGTTTCTAGCACCATCTCTCTGCTGGTGATTTGCCCCCCACCTTCAATCTCCCTAGCTTTCTGTCTTCATTTCAGAGCACCTCCTGAGCTACAGACCTACATATCCAAATATCTGAGGAACAACCCCATGTCAATTTCCTTGACACAATGTATGATTTAAGCATATTTTTCAAATGAATAAAGAAAGTAGGGGAACCTTATTGCAGAATCTTATTTTTCAATATGAAAAAAAACAGGTACTATAACCAAGGAGGACATTAAATTATTCCCTTAGAAAATATGAGTAAATAAAAGTTTCCTAGCTTGGTGCTCTTTAACTTAGTTGTTGAGGTTATTGTAGGGGCTCCACAAGAAGAAGAAGCAGAATCAATGCATCTTTACCCAATGGTACAAACATCTGCCTGGTACAAAGGACTGCTCTAAGCACACTGAACTTGAATGAGAGAAATTTAGTAGGATCTTGAATTTAGATGGCTAAAATCAGTCTCTGATACCTTATACAATTCCTGGAACTTTATCTTGATTGTTTTTTTATTGGTACAGATATTAATTCATGAAAAAAATGCAGTTTCATAGATTGACTATAGATATGCTGAGAAAAAGCATGTTCCCCTTGCTATGCTCAGCTTGGAAAGAAAATAACCCTTTTCACAAAATCTCAACTTATTTTTGGGAGCCGTCAGTGTGAGAATCTGACCTGACATTCACAACCTAGCATAACAGCTCCAGCATTTATTTTAGTAAACCTTTGAATTAAGAGTCTACCATGTAGGTACTAGTGAGACCAAGAGGAAAGACCTGGTGCCTCTCTTTTCAGTGGAATGAGAGATACAAGAATATCAGTGACCACAGTGTGGTAGGCACCCACAATATTCTAGAAGTCAAGAAAGGGCCATTACTCTGTGACTGGGGTTAAAAAGCATCTTAGAAGACTTCTCAGGGTAACACTGGGATGGCTAAGAAGTGGAACAGATCTCTCCAAGTGTAAATGCTCCAGCCAAAGCTCAAATGTGGGAGGAGTCTGAGGACATGGAGCTATGAATCCCCGTGGCCAAGTGGAAGGTGGAAGGTACATGCAGCTGGGTGAGGAGAAACTAGTGAGGGAGAGGACTCTAGAAAATGATGCTGAGGACTCAAGTCTTCAGCTTGATGCTGATGCAGGTCACTACGTAGACATTTAAGCTTATATAGTACATAATCAGGCTGTACCTTAGAATGACCCTCTTGGCAGCAGTGAAGATAAAGTGTTGATTAAGGAAGAGACAGGAGCTTGGGTAACAGGGATAAGATGGGAAGTTGTGAAGACCAGGGCAAGGTTGAAGCATTGGAAGTTGGAGGGAGAGGAGAAATTCAAGAACTTGTTGGAAGATAGCAGAGACTGAAGTTGCAGACAGGGTGCATGTGGGATTTGGGGAAAGAGATTGTGAAGAGGATTCTCAGATGTCTACCTTGGCAAGCTTTGTGAATATTGATGTGATTTGCTAGAATACAAAAGGAAGAATTTTGGTGGGGAGGTGGAGCAAAGATGGTGGAGGCATGTGTGGACTTTGAGGTTGTTGTGACATCCAGACCAATGTATCGAACACGTAGGTGGATAAACAGGTACAAAGCTCAGGTCAGATATGGAAGCCACCTACCCATTAATGGTGTGGGATAGACTGGTCCAAATAAGATCTCCCAATAAGGCAGCTCCATGGAGGAGGAAGAGAAAGGGTGCAAGATGGACCCTGGCCTATCAGCATTACTGGCTTTGACCCAACCACGTTTCAGACCCATGTGTGCATGCACAATGGTCTGTGAGACTCAGACATGTTTTATTCCAGATGATCTCAAAGGGGCAGTGAATATGCACTTGGAGCAGCCTGTTTCCTTCTTATTTAGACCCACAGAGACATTCTAGCCAGAAAGAACAAGCCATGGGGCAAACACAATAAATGACCTGTCCTGTAGACAGGTTCTAGCTTGGCTACTGGAAAGGCTACTCAGTGGCAATGAAGACAATTTGCTTGGTCCCAACACTTTTACCAGAAAGAAGTTTAACAATGGAATGGTCATGAGCTCTCTGCCTCTACAAGGCTTCAAAACATAAGGACAACCATCAGTAGAATTAGTGGGAAAGCTGGCATCTGTACTCTCAAAAGGGTCTTTCCAGCTCTGAAATCTTAAGTAACTCCCTCCCTGCTCCATGAGAATGATGATCTGCTTCTTTCACATTATGTCTTCAACACCCAGGACAAGGTGAGGCCCGGAGGGGTATTGTGCAGGAGACACATCTCAGCGCACATCTCAGTGCACTCTCTCATTACTCCATTGACATGAAAATGTATAGTTAGTTTACAGTTTGGCTTGTGCTGTGATGTAACTTCAAATACATCACTCCCAAACTCAAGGCCATGGAAATAGAAGGCCTCTACCTTACCTCCAGTCCCCAACCTCCTCATACTGGCTCTAATAAGCACAATGCTTTATCATGGTAGGGTCTCAATGGCCTCCCACTTCCTATTACATACCCTAGGTTTTGAGAACAAAATAAAGCTCTCATGGTATGTCACAAAGAAGGATTATGAGGAGTTTTGGCAAGTTGGTGCTATCAGCTCCATGAAAGGTTATTTCTATTCCCAAATCCCTGTGGTCCCCAGACTGCAGATGCAGACTGCCTCCCACTTGTCTTGCTGACACCACAGGTTGCCTTGGCCAGCTCCACCCTTGTGGTTTGGCAAGCACTCTCTTCTTATTCTTTGCCATATCTGCTGTGTAGCAGTACATGGGCAAGACACTGGCTGAACAATGAGCAGCATATGGGGCTTTCCTGTTGAGAAAGGCTTATGTGGGAGGACCAGGGAACAAAATATGGGAAGAGGATGAAAGAAGAGGTGAAATTTTATAACCTTCCTCAGAGCATCATGTGACCCTTTGGAGAAGCTCCTGAAGGCTGGCTGCTACACTCTGTCCATTCCCTGAAGACAAGGCATTTGAGGATGGTTGGAGTACAGGGGCAGAGAATGCAGAGGTAGCTTCTATATCCTGACACTGTAGTGGGCGGTTGGAGCATCAAAGAGCTCGGCAGCATCCAACACAAACTTAGGAGCCCTGAGAAAAAGGAATCTTTGAAGAAAATCTACATACATAGAAGATTCCAGAGGCAACATAGAAGATTCCAGAGGCAACATTTAAACTGAGTCTTGTCTTAGGTTACTTACCTTAATCAACCCTGGAAGAAAAGCAGAAAGAAAAAAAGATCTAAGGAAAAGACAAAATGGAGATCAAAGAGTAGAAAATGACGTTTATAGCAAGACAAAGGGACCTGATACTCTTTAGTAGAGCACAGCTTCCTAAATAAACAACCAGCTTCAAGTTGCTAGAAGAAGCTAAACAATTGCTTTCCACTCCTGCCTAGCAGGGAATGAGAGTTATGGGGGTGAACTAAACCATGAGGAGTTGAGGTTAGCCCTAAGGAGAAAAACTTAACATTTAAAAATGTTCTGTGCAATACATGCTAGGAAATATGTGACATATTTAACACTCATGGTATCATAACAGCCTCCAGGAGCCAACATTTTTAAAAATATTACGACCGTTCAATATTAGTGTTTCAACTAAGTTATTTAATATGTTTCATAGCTTAGTGCAGACACAGTCAGGACAGGAGATACAGCCATCAGAGCCTTGTGGGAATCAGAAAGAGATGCCAACTCAGCCTGCCCAAGAAAGTGCTTCCATGCCCAGAAAAGGGAGCTAGCTGACTGATCCCAGGGTACAGCCCCCAGTGGTGTCCCCAGGGACCCATTGGGTGCTGAGTTCTAAGCCCAAATGTTCTACACCCACCCAGGTAGCTGTGGGTCTTCACCCAAAATGGAGTTCAGCACCAGGGTGTTAACCAGGATAAACTTGGCTGTGGTTCTGCTTTTTGAAAAGGGCAAAAAGATGTACAAAATGTACAAGATTCCCTGGATCTTCTGTCAGTCTCAACACTTTAAACTTCCATGTAGAAAAATTTGGTTTCATTAACTTCTTTTCTAGTCAATACTTGCCTAGAGCCTTCTCTCCTCAGTACCTAGCACAAGGTACTACTGGTAATGCAGGTATGAACAAGGCTGGCCCTGAGGGACTCCCAGGTCAGGAACAGTCATAATCTGGGAGAGAAAAATGCAGTTGGAGGTGGATATAAGAAGTGGAGCAAATAATAGTAGTGTCAACAAAAGGTCTCTGCTCTCAAATCTAATGCCAACAGTAGTCCTCAGCTTGGGGTATGATAAAAGGAGAAACTCTACTCAGGTAAACAGTTTGCAAAACCAGGAGAAGCAGCCTCTAGTGAAAACTGAAGGTGTGCTCCATCAAGCTAAAGGGGAAGCCAGTTTTTATAGAAAAAGTCCCCATCATAGTCCCTGGTTGGTCTACTTTTATGCAAATGAGAAGTCCAAATAACACTGTGCTGACTGGCCAGCTTCATGTATTCTGATTTTTTGTTATGGAGCAGCTCTAATTGGTTAGTAAAGATGCAAATGAAATAATAGCTGGATATTTTCAATTGGATGGGGCAGGTTTCAGCCCAGAAGTCAAAATAAAATATCAGTATCTCCATTCCTGGTTGGAATGGAAAGGGTTGACTCAACCTGCAGGAGCACAGTGCAAGAAGCCAAAGGTTCAATTTTCAGCTTTTCCCTGAAATGCAGAGTGAGAGGCCTCTGTCTACAATGGCTGCTAAACTATGGTTATAAATTTTTGCCAAGCTAACCACGAGGAGTCCTTCTTGGCAGATATATTCCTTCTTGGGGTTCACACTGGGTCTGGATGTCAGAAACATGCAGGAGGACTGACTTGGAGCCTGTCACCCTCATGAAGCCACATGCAGACATATGCCCCCTCCTGGGAGTGGAAGCACTGCTGCCCTGGTGTGGCTTCCTGCTTCCTGAACACAGATGGCTTCTGGAGGGTGACAGAATATGTGCTTGAAAGAGGCTTTTTACAGAAGGCTTAATTGTGAAACTGGCTGTTGGGACTTCTGAGAGATGTTTTGAGATTGCTTAATTAATGTTTATAAGACATGCTAGAATCTGAGGATAAAAGGCTCTGAGGAAGAGCAGGTAGTCATGCTTATAATATTACTGGTGATGGTCCAGTTCATGGTAGCTAGAGTCTGAAGACTCCCCAACACTCCACCATGCTACCACTTACTGCTGCCATCAGCCAGGGTTGTGCATAGCTAATACAAAAAAATTAAAAAACAACCATGGAAAAAATTCAACAGCAGAGAGGGATTTTTCATTTTTTGAAATTGTGGTAAGGGAGAACATTCAGCTCATTTTTTCAGGAACATGTACAAAAGACACATGGACAAAACCAATGCAGGGTAAGGCCAAGTGTGAGAAGTGGGGATGGCTGGGGTTGGGGGGAGTGGTGTAGAGAAAATGGAGACAACTGTATTGAACAACAATAAAAAAATAAATAAAAAGAAAAAAATTTAAAAATTGACTTCTAACAATGAGATAGATGGCTCCATGATCATCGCTGAATATATGTTTATGGAAAACAAGTACACACCAAGAAAAGTGCCAAAGCCTGCAGGTGGCAAGGAGCCTAAGTTGCAAGGCCTGGAGGGGAGGTCCAAGAGGTGGTGTAGCCTGCATAGAACTTCAACCAGTGGTGGCAGAGCTCTGTGGGTAGGGTGTTCTGAAAGTCAGCATGGTCATGGGGCTGGCATATTGACATGAAGAAGCTTGAAAGACATAACAGAACATCAGTGGGGGGTAAAAGACTTTAGAGTCTTACTGTGAAGGGTTTGTCCATTTCTTTAAGTATATACAACCCCAGCATGAATGTATATAGTTGTCTTTTGTTCAGTGCTTCCTGAGGAGAAAGCAAATAAATTTCAGTTATCACCTTGTTGTATTTTAGGCTATCTCTAAAGCTCTCTGCTGTGACCTCTATAGACATTACTGTAGCCATGTTTGGATGGCCAGCACCATTCACTATAGGGAGGTCCCAGTGTCACAGACATAGACACATTTGCCTGTAAACCCACCAAGCTACAGGCTCTGAGATGGGCTTTTGCTAAGGGGGTGATTTTCCTCCAAAGATGCCTGGGTCCCTGGCTGGCAAGATATTATAAGTGCTAAGCAGGGCATATACAGGGTGGGTATGCAGATATTTCAAGTGGATGGTGTTGATGAAAATGATGATTACATATATATGCTAAACAAATTCATCAGTGAAAGGAATCAAAAAGGGAAGGAGATTTTTTAAATACACAAAATGACTCAATATTGGAGAAAAATTATATTTTAGGACAAGCTGAAAACCCCCCACTAATCAAAATGGGCTGCTGACCCAGCAGGGCTCCTGATTCTCAGGTGTTTATCTTGGCCCAACTTGGGTCATGCTTTGGTCATGGGTATGCCAAGTGCTCAGCACTTGCTTGTGGTAACACCCAACTCACCTGCCTGCTTCTTGTTTTTCCCTCCTATAGCTACTACATATTGGAAAACAGACCCAGGAACATATACGGCATGGTCTGCTATTCCTGCCTCCTTGCACCTCCGAACACCAAGGAATGTGAGTGCACTTTATCCTTCTATAAGCACAGTATTTGTTCAATGTTGATGTCTTGCATTATACCATGTGGTAGACAGAAAACAGTCCTGGCAAATAGGCAAATTAAGTACAGCAAAGGCATAAAGCAATCAGACGTCAAGTCTGTGAAGGAGGCCTGCTGTCCCTGAACCATGAGTCACAGACTTTGGTCACTCACCTTGGACAGGTGACCTTGAACAAGTTTCATAAACTCTATGAGCCTCAGTTTTCTCATTTGTCATTTGGGAGTATTAAAATCTGAATTAACCATAGCATGCAATTCTTGGATAAGACAATGAGATTACAGACACCAAGGTACTTTGCAAAGTACTACAAAGCTCTAGACAATTGTTAGTTCTCATACATTTTTAAAGCTAATAGATGGCCTCCCAGATGAGGCCAGAAGAAGTATAAGAAGTGATCCCAATTAATGAAATACATACAAGGAAGCATATGTCAACAATGAGTCTAACAAGTTTAGAATCTCACCTTGGGCTATTTCTTTTCTATTAATTTGGTTTGACTTTCATGGACATGTTTATGAGGAAGTGCCAGGAACTTCTGCTCCAAGAATGTGTTGTGTTATCTCTTGCATCTGTGGTCTTAAGAGACATGATTGAAGGAGGGATGGATGGGCATCTGGGACAAAACAAGGAGCCTGGTCTCTGGACTGCTCTACTCCCACTCCAGGCCAGAAGAGGTGCCCATACTGGAGCCCTGCCTCTCTTGGGTCTCTATGAGTCCCTGCCCATCTCATTTTCTCAACATAATCTTATCTAAGAGAGTAGAATAAGGGCCTCCTTCTTGAGAGTACCTAGGAGGAAAAGAAGGAGAGCAAGAAGAGGGAAGCACTACCTCTCCTCACCTTAGGTTCAGGGGGAGGTGCTCTGGGTGATGGAGCAGAGGCTATTCCCTCCCTTCCAAACTACTTAAATAGAGGAGCCTGGCAATGATGAATTTTCATGTCTTTAAAGCTGAGCATTCCTACCTGGCATGGTGATTAATTCACTGATTAGAGTAAGTCCAAGGGCTCCTGGCTGCTAGAAGGACAGTAGTAAAGTCAGTTGCCATTGCTGATAAGTCTTCCGCTGGGAAATCTAAACCAACTCCATACCAAATAGTTCTGGGATGAATCCTCAACTGAGAAGATGTCAGATAGTTACCACCTATTTAGAAAAGGTTCTTTGCCTATGGAACCAAAAGACAAGCAATTCTTCCCCTTGGGACTCTTTTGTTTGAAAGCTCACACACAGTGTGTCCTTCTCAATACCTGGAGCTTACAAAGCACCTTAGTCCAGGAGACTTTGAAAATAAGTACATCCCCCTCCCAAACCCTAGTCCTTAATTGCTTAACTGGAAACCAGCACCCAGTAAGTCCTCCTAGTGGTTCTAAGAACCCAGCCCTGAAGGAAGCCAGCAAAGAAAATGGAGCCTCTGTTTGCCCATCTGGGAAATGGGAGAGATAACCAGATAGGCTGTGTAGGGTAACATGGTAAATGGAACCCTGCCTGGGTCATGGTCTCAAGTGTGGACATGAAAGTTACCTTCTCCGCCACTGGGGTCTCTACTTCACCTGCACAGTGTTCTTGCTCAAGAATCAGCACACAGCCTCCATGAAGACACTGAGACCCAAACTCAACAGGACTGCCATCAGCAGCCCTGTCCCAGCAAACCCAGGAACTAGGTGAAACCTCACTGGTTAGGATCACAGTTTGCTGGCTGGTTGCCCAGGCCCCATCAGACTCTCCCCTTCTTGAGCCTATAGTCAGTGATTAAGAACCCTTTGCCTCCACCTGAGAAGCCTGCTTTGGTTTTGTTTTGATGTGACTTACATGGCCCCTTGTCATACGAAGCTAATGCTCTTAATTGCCCAAGTCAATGCATGATGAATTACACAATCCACAGTCAAAGAGAACCTGGGGCACAGACCCCAGGAAAAATGTGTGGCCGATGCACACATATGATATGGCTATATGAGCCAGGGTGTGGCTGTGTAGGAGTGAGCCCTGGGCTGCATAGCCTGAGTCAGTGCCTGGGGCCATATGCTCGTCTCTCTGTGCTTCTCCATCCTTAAAGATATAATGGCTTCTATGAGGTACAGGGCTGAGATTCTCATAAGAACCCCAGGGGTTGCCAGGATTACACTGAGAACCCTAATGTGGATTATGGGCCTGAGTTTAAATTCTTCAGTTTCCTCACCTGCCAAGACACCCACTTCATCAGCTGTTGTGTGGCTGGATTGAGCTGCACCCACAGGCGCAGCCATAGCTGGTTGCCAGGCTGCAGCCCATCCATGTATTATCAGGAGTAGCAAAGCACCACACAGTTATTGCATTTCCAGCACCATCAATTAGGGGAGGGAAGCCAGAGGATGGGCTGCCCTGGTCACCATTTGTCCTGCCTTTGGGCCTTGTCATCTTCATGCAAATAGACTTGTGTGGAGCTTAGGACAGAGCCTGGATGGTACTCAGAGAATGTAAAATGCCATGTAAGCAATGAAACCTCCCTCAGTTTCTGTTTTCTCTCCTGAATAATTTAGAAAATAATATCCTCTCAGTGTACTGATAGTGTTGTCACATACATGCACAAAATACTTTGAAAATTGAAAGCACAAAGCATGTAACTGATGACTCTTCCATAAACCACAGGAGTGTGGCAGGGATGCTGGGCTTTCAGGAGTTTTGAAACCAGGCCTTCTCTCCTGCTTGTCACTTGCCCATCAGGAAAGCTTTGAGGCTTTCTTCCAATGCTTTAGCCACAGTGAAAAAGCACAGCCTTTATTCTTCTAGTGCTGTTGTTATTTGTGTCCTGGAAGAGAAAGAAGAAGGCCTTTGGTTATTTTCAGTTATATCAAAGAGCAATATCCAGTTGGTGCAACCAAAGCTTTCTGGTTTTTATTTTCCCTGAACATGCCTGAGGGAAGCCTTAGAAAGGAATCTATGTTACAATGGCAAAAATGGCATGTTGAGAGAGAAAGTATGGGAGTGGCATCAGATTTCAGATTCATTAGAGTCTCCTCTCTTGGAATAGTTACCTAACTTTGTATCAATTTCCCTATCTGTCAAATGGGGATTTCATCTCAATAAGATTGTTAGAAGTAGGAGATGACTTGTCGAGTGTGTATGCAGCCCCAGCTGTAGTGTATGCACATGGCACTTAGTATATGATAAAGCTTCAGCCTCATCAGTGAGCACCAACCAGACCTCCTGGGGCCTGTGCAACTCCCCTTTGCACAGTGGCCTCTTGTGCCTTGTCTGTTCACCTGGGACACAGATAGCATGAATTCCTCCTTCACAAAGTACTAGAGGAACACATGAGATAATGATAGGTCTGGCACCCAGAAGTTGTGTCCTTGTCATTGTCAACATTTTTGTAATCACGCATCAGTGACTATGACCCCTGAGTCAACTCCAAGATGTACTCACCTTCTGGAGAATTCCACTCTATCACCAGGAGTGCTCTGTTTCCCTCTAGATGCTATGGTGTGGTGCCCAACAGTGATGAAACTCCAATGTGAAGTGTTGGCCTCTCCAAATGCCAGTTTCCAGCTGTTTCCAAAGCAATGTTTCTCAAATTTGAATGTGTGCACCCATTGTTACCAATACAAAGACACTGCAAAAGGCCAACATTCAAAACATCAGGTTTTGGAGTAAGGAAAGCAGTATTGATTGAGAAGGCTTCCACTCGAGCAGATGGTTCCTCAAATCCATCTTCTGACAGCCCAGAATTTAAGAGAATGGAAGGGAGAATGGGGGGAACAAGAGATGATTGGATACTGAAGGCATCTGGTTACTAACAAGGAAAAGTGTGAAATCTCTAAATCTCTTAATATTTCTATGTCATTTGACCCCTGCTAATCTGAGTCAGCCCTGAGGCTCCTGCAAATCTTCTATAAGCAGTCACCATACTTGTACACATTTTCTCACCTCCCAAGGAGAGGCACTCCCTGGTAAGAGGCTGTTCCTCTAAAAACTCAAGTAGAATTCCTCTAATAATAAGCATATGTGTAGCAGGAGCTCTTAGCCTGAGGGCCATGGGAGAAATGCAGGTTAGACTAAAGTATGAGAAAGCGAGCATTTCGATCTGTCACAACATCATCAGGAGTCCTGTTAAGAAACATGTCCTGCTGCAGCAGGTCTGGGTGAGTTCAAAAACTCCCTTTCTAGCAAGCTCCCCAGGACCTCACTTTGAGCAGCCAAGTCCTAATAGCTCTGCCCATTGTTCCAGGGTTCGCCAGTAGGGAGGGCTGAGCCAATGCAACAGACTCGGGCACCCTCATTGACTACTATAAGAGGCAACAAATGAATCATTCCTGAAAACCCAAGCTATTTGCTATATGCCAACTACCTCTAATACACACCAGCACATTTATAAACAATGTAAATCAACCAACAAGCCTCAAAGTCTCTTAGTAAACCCCTTCATTACATTGAATAGAGGTCTAACTGCATTAAACCACATGCTCAGAGTTCTCAGAATCCTCCTGAGAAAGGTGAGTATACTCCGCACAGGGTCCCCACCTGCCTATACCTTCTATCCAGAGTCAGTGCTGCCTCATGCTCAGACTCCATTTTCTTTTGTTTTAATAGAGATCTTATGTGCAAATTTCTGCTTATTTTCTGTGACTACTGTTTTGAACAACCTTCCCTTACCCATTTATAAAATACCTCCTCTTTGCTTATTCAAATCTGGGCTCCAAGCATTATGGAAGGTAAGATGAGTTAGTAGTTGACCACCTAATAGAAACAACACCGAGAAACGTTTTCTTCAGTGATCCATTCCAAGGAGGCCAAGTGAACTGGAAAGACACAGCCCATGTCTAAGCAAAGGGAAACCTCACAGACACCAAATAGTTTTGATAGTGCTGAGTTAATCCTCATCAAACCACAGCAGAACCTGGAGCAGGACACTATGCTATGCAGAGTCATGGTAGCAATGGCATGCTGTCCTGAGGGCACCCGCACCAAAGGTAGGCCTCTAGTGATGCAGCCTCTTTGCCCACTCTCCCTGTGTATCCTCTGACATGCCAGGCTGTTCAGTTAATATCAGCTGGAGTTCACTTTGGAGGGAAATGTCCAGAAAGTCAGGGTGGAGGCATGGTCCAGCTTGCCACCTGACCCAGGACAGGCCAGTGCCTGCCAGGTGCAGTGAGGTAAGCTTTACTGATGCAATAGCCTGCACCCACTGTCTGGTGATGTCCATGAGTAACCAGCCCTGCCAGTCAGGTGCAAAGACGTTTTTTTAAGTTAGCATGCTGCTAGGCTATTCTCACTGTCCCACTCTAGACCATGCCCCTGGCCGTATTTCTGTCCCTAACCCCAACTTCTGTCACTTAGCCCCAACCAGCAAGCCCTAGCAGAAATGGACAAGAGAGACAGGTGACAAACATGCACAAATAGAGCCCACAGGTAGTCTTTTCCTGACTACATAGCTTAAACTCCCTTGATCCCCTGAACAAACAGGTAGAATAGCTGTGGTTTCAATGTTCAATTTTCTTGAAGTTATGCCCCATATTCTTTTTTCTCACTTCACTAGATAAGGTTTGATAGACTGCTTCCCAGCTCTATGCAAACAGGGATAAAAATATGAAGTCCATCTTATCATTCTGGAACTTTCAAAAGGAATCTGTGTGGTGTGTGAGAAGTGAAAGGCAAGCCTCCAGATCAGTCTTGTCACCGGGAGCAGCTATTGAGAGACATGAACCCCTCCTTCGGGGAGCACACACCTTCACCAACACCACCCTGGTAGGATACTGATTTTAAGGCCAGATGAGAAGGCTAAATTAATTTAATCTCACCTACATTTGGTGGGTGAGTAAAGCTAGGTATTCCCCAGAAAGACAAAGAAACATCTCTCTAAGCTCCAGATACAAGTGGGGTGAGGAGGTGCATTCACAGGTTCTGGAAGGCATAGGAAAGAAAGAAAGAAGAGCCACACCTTTTAGCTATTATCCTTCTCCAAACACCCACCAATTTTGATGTCCCATTACCCAGCTTCCTGCCCTGTCACCCACCAGCAATTACAGAAGAAGTGGGGAGGCCCTGTGGACACAGGTGGGGGCCATCAATGAGCCTCACTCTATTCTGAGCAGATCACTTCTAGGATCTCTGTTGATTCAGAGGGTAGCCCATGCTGACCTGTTACCTTAGTGTCCCTTATACCTCTCAGCACCCCTCCCTCTCGGTGGGAGAGCTGAGAAGTCATTCCAATGATAGCAGTTGAGAAAAAAGAAGGAAACAATGGAAACCACAGAACTCATCATGCCCTGCAGAAGGAAAGGACTGACCCACCCATTCTGTGGTGGTCTTTGTGATGCCCACACCCATGTTTGAAGCAGCAGCCCCACAGAGGAAATAACATGGAAAACTTCTCTGAGTATGAGCTAGAAGGGCAGCAGGATGGCACCAGGAGCATGCACACTTGCCTTACTGACCCTGCCCAGGGTGAGCCCCTGTCCAGTGTTGAGGAGGGTGTGAACTGTCATACTTTGCAGTGCTTCCTAAAAACCTTCCTACTGGCCCCTCAGGCAACAAATCACATTTCTTATGTACCTGTGACAGTTTAATTTCCTGTCTTACCTGAGCAACTGGCTGATCCTGGCACTGTGACACCTAACAGAAATGTGGAATTACACCAGGAGTCAGGCTTCAGCTTATCCTTCCCAGACTACCAACCAATTTTTTTATTTTATTTACTTTTTAGAGAGGGGAAGAGAGGGAGAGAAACATCAATGGGTAGTTGCCTCCCACATGAACCCTACTGGGGACCTGGCTCGCAACCCAGGCATGTGCCCTGACTGAAAATTGAACTGGTGACCCTTTGGTTCACAGGCCAACATTCAACCACTGAGCCACACCAGCCAGGGCTGCCATCGATTTTTTGTTGTTGTTGTTCAAGTACAGTTTTCTGCCCTCTGCCCCGACCCCAGCTCACCCCTCCCTTCTATCCCCACCCCTCCCTTGTTATTGTCCATGTATCCTCCATACTAGTTCCTTCAAACCCTTCCCCACTTCTGAAATTCCATCCCCTCTCCCCTCTGGTCACTGTCAGTTTGTTCCCAACCTCAGTGTCTTTGGCTATATTTTGCTTGTTTGTTTGTTTTGTTGACTAGATTCCTGTCAAAGGTGAGATCATATGGTATTTGTCTTTCACTGCCTGGCTTATTTCACTTAGCATAATGCTTTCCAGTTTCATTCATGCTGTCACAAAGGGTAGGAGCTCCTTCTTTCTTTCTGCTGCACAGAATTCCATTGTGTAAATGTACCATAGTTTTTTGATCCATTCATTTACTGATGGGCATCTAGGTTGTCTCCAGCACTTGGCCACTGCAAATTGCGCTGCTATGAACATTGAGGTACATAGGTTCCTTTGGACTGGTGTTTCACAGTTCTTAGGATATAATCCTAGCAGTGGAATTGCTGGATCAAAAGGCAGATTCAATTTTAGTTTTCTGAGGAAATTCCATACTGTTTCCCATAGTGGTTGTACCAGTCTGCAATCCCACTAACAGTGCACTAGGGTTCCCATTTCTCCACAATCTCTCCAACACTTGTTTGTTGCTTTGTTTATGATGGCCATTCTGACTGGTGTGAAGTGGTATCTCATTGTGGTTTTAATTTGCATTCTCTGATAGCTAGTGATACTGAGCATCTTTTCATGTGTGTCCTCTGTATGTCCTCCTTGGAGAAGTATCTGTTCAAGTCCCTTGCCCATTTTTCAGTTGGGTTGCTTGTCCTCTTAGAGTAGAGTTGTGTGAGTTCTTTATATATTTCTGCTATCCAATTTTATTTGTAGAGTTTCTATTTGTTTTCAAAGGTATGAGGATCAAAAGTTTCTGATCCTGCGCTCTCCTTTGACCTTCTCTACCTACTGGCCACAGAAGTATGGATATTTCAGGAGGACTTTTCTTGCCCAGTTGGCTGTGGTCATTGTCTCATTGGTTTCTACAAGCTATGTGTACAGGTGGCCTTAGAAATACCACTCACAGAGCAAGTGGCTGTGTTTCTCCTGAGAACCTTCTGTTACAGAAAATAGCCCTGTTTCTCACAGAAGCCTTGCTGTCCTACGTCCAGCATCAGGGCTGTACCTCCTGGCTGGGCTACTGGGAGGCCTGACATGTGTGGAGTATACAGAGGACACTCACTTATCACTCAGGGCAAAACCACTTTCCCGGTACTCCAGAATTGATGGAGACAAACTCAAGACAGGAGGAAACTTATTTGAAATATGACCATTTTTATTAACTGCAAAACTCAAGTTTGGCCTAGAGAAAAGTTCACCATTAGAATGTCTTTTCTGTGGTAGAATATTTTTGTTTGTTTATTTTAACTGAAAAATTTTATAAATTGTCTGATCACAAAACCAGCTCCCATTTTATTACTGCTAAGTAACACTTTTTAAATAGAACAGGAGTTTTTATGAATCACAGTTTTGAAAAAAGACCAAGCTCATGCCTGCTCTTAAATGGTTTGTTCACAACTATTTTTTAAATGTATCATAGCAAAAATCCTAGAGAAAAAGACACCAAAATGGTAACTTTAGACAGAGGCTGTGAGTGATTTTTTTACTTCTGTCTTGTGTTCTGATTTTTTAAAATAATAAACATATGTTACTTGTATAACTCATATAACATATTATTCAGGCCCCCCTTCAGTCCATTCCTAATGTGGAATTTTACATCAGTGGCTGTGCTGCCACACCAGGTGTTCCAGTGTTGATGGTGGAGCCTCTGCAGGCCATCCTGAGAAATGCACAGTGACTGTTCTCCTTGCAGGTGCGGGAGCCTCCTCGAGGGTCTCTGCCAACTTCCCCAGCACTGCTGGCAGCAGCACCCTCTCTCCTCTCCAGCATGCCCATAAAGGTAGGCAGGCTGCCTAGGTTTGATATTCTGGAGTTACCACCTAGACATAAGGGGGAGGACTGGAGAGGAATTATTAGAAGTGACCATGAAGCTCTTCTCTACTTCAGATCACTGCCCTAATGTGATTGAATCACACTCAATACCCCAGTTGCTGGAAGTTAGTACTGTCTCTGAAAGGAGTCGAGCCAATCACTCCATGGGCATCCTGGGCCCATTAAAGTATGTTAGTAATGAAGGCACATTCCCAGGGTGCCAGGGGTGTGTGCTCAGGACATGAGTGGTGAAGACAGGAGAGGAGCAGCTTCTGCAGCTTCATGGCCTTTGGCCAGCCCTGGTGTCAGCAGCAATTCTGTTGCTGGCTTTTATATAAACTTTCTGATCTCAAGACTTTACTATCTATTTCCAATAGATATTTACTATTTACTATCTATAGTGAAACTATATTTAACTCCACTCCCCAATTCCTTTGGGATGGAAGGATGGAAGAGGACCCCCAAGGTCCACAGGTTTTTAAGAGCAAGACCCCATAGTGACTCCTCCTTCCCTCTTACACTGTCTCAGTGCCATCTGTTTAAGCATGTTTAAGGCCTGGGTCCTCAGTGAGGCTTGGACTTCCTTCAGATACCCATGGTGCACTCAGCATGCATTTCAGGTTTCCGAAGTAGTAGAACCAAGGGCAAGCCCAGGAAACAACTGAACAAATCAAAACCATGGCACTCCAGAGAAGTCTGGTTCTACCTAGGTTGAGACAAACAAGGGGAGTTCATGGGTAGTCCTGATGAGGTGGCCAAAACAAACTTGTAGAGCTGGGTTCTGAGACTAAGCAAGCATTTTGGCTTCTGAGGGTCCCCCAGAAAGTGTTCCAAAGGGGCTGTGGTCTTGAAGGGGAAAGGGTCCTACCTGATAGGTGGGTTCCTGTAGGTCTCTTTTAACCCTAAGTCATTACCTTCTATCCCCAACTTCAGCAGAGCTCTCAGGCCAAGGACACCTGGCCACAGCTCTGATCATTGCCATGTCCACCATCTTCATCATGGCCATCGCCATTGTCCTCATCATCATGTTCTACATCATGAAGACAAAGCCTTCTGCCCCAGGTGACTGCTCCTCAATGCCTGCCCCATATTCCCTCCCCCTTGAACAGCTCCATCAACTTACCCAGTTGGTGCACCTGGCTGCTCACACACTTCTCTTTCTCCAATTAGCCTGCTGCACCAGCCACTCAGTGAAGAGTGTGGAAGCCCAAGTGAGCAAGGAAGAGGACAAAAAAGAGGCTCCAGGTCTGCAGAGTCCCTATAAGTGTGGGTGTCCATCTCCAGGGTGGAGACTTTTTGCCCCTCTGCCACTACCCCAGCAGCCTGGCCTTCTAACTGGCTATGCTCTCTGCCACTTAGCACAGGAGTCATAGGAAGGGGTGTCAGTGCAGCCATGTTATGTTTAATCCTTTAGGTATTGTGGTTTATCCACTAGAGAAGTCTGCTAAAGAGGAAGTGAGCAACAGAAGGACCACCTCTGAGCTGGAGCCAATTCTTAACTCCTCTCTCTCCCAATCTTCCTATTTACCTACAGACAGTGTGGTGATTTTCTCAGAGAAGGATGAATTTGAGAAGCTAGCAGCAGTTCCAGCAAAGAATGCCAAGAGGTAGGTCAAACCAAAGCAGATCCCAACAGCCCCCAGTTTCAGGCTAAAGTGAGGAGGTCCTCGGGAACCCTGAATAGGAAAGGGAGCTGGCCATGGCAAGCAAGAAGTGTACTGAGAAACCTGTCTGCTGGCCTGGAGGTTGTGCTGGGGACAGCTCCAAAGAGAACAAGGCCCCAGGGACCAGCAAGGCAATCCCAGTCAGCATGGGGTCACAGCCTCACTGTTGACCTGAAGCTGGGACCAGGTAGTATTAGGGACAGGTAGTCAACACCTGCCAGCCACTCTGGGTTGGCCCTCCTCCCTTCCTCCAGGGCCAGATGCTCCAGGCCTTTCTCTTCAACATCCACCTTTCTCATGCAGACTCCAAAGCTTCTGCATGACATCTTCCTCTCCAGCAGCCTTGGTAATATTCCTGCTGCTGCTCCCCAAGCAAATACTGACAGCATAGTGCTAAAGCTAGAGCTGATGTCCCTATAATACAGTGACAGTGGTGATAAAGATGGCTACCAAACATTTGGTGCTGATTACTCACTAGTCATGAATGTGTTACTCATAGGGCTTATGTTACTCATAAGGGCTTATGTAACATTATATACCTTTGTAAGAAGTTGAGGTTTGGAAGCTGTCATGTGCCTATGGTTGCATGCCCAGTGAGTGGCAGGACTGGGGGCTGAGTTCAGGCCCTGACTCCAGTGTATGTTCCATAGGCTCTGGACCAACCAGCAACACTTAGTGAAATAGGGCTTCTTCAGGAAGAGATTTGACACATGAAGTCTTTAGCATATTTACCACACACACACATACACATTGGGATGTGGAATCAACCCCAGCTTTAACATCTAGGGTTAAAGAAATTAACTTTTTATTTGCCCCCTTATATGGTCATTTGGACTTAGTCCTATTTAAATTCCAAAAATCCATCCCATGTTAATGGTCCACTCCATGGTTGTTCCAGGACCCCATCCACTCAAATATCCCTGTTGCAGAAGGGGACACAGAGGCCATGAGAAGTCACCAAACTGGCTACAGAAAGAGCAGAGGGTAAATCCCTCCTCTCCTCACTCCCAGCCTGTGATGTTTCTAGGGTATGTGAACTCTTGTAAAGCTGTGCTTTTTAGGAATGATAATGAATCCAGGTGTTTGCATAGAGCTTTGGCATTTATAAAGCACTACCAAACATGTTATATCATTTGGAAAACTCCACATTCCTGATACAAGGGCCAGAAACAAATTTAAATCATGAAATCTTTGCATACTGGGAAAGAAAAGCAATTGTGTGGAACTTGGCAGTCCCCTAGAAAACGGTATTCCTGATAAGTGCCTCTGTTACCCATGAACATTTTTCAAAACCTCATGAATTTGTGGTCTGAGCAACTTCATGCACATCTGGCAAGTATGTGCAAGGTCCAAGCTGCTGTTACCAGGATAGAACCCAGGCTTGCAGCTTTGTGGTGGGGACTTGGTTCTTCATTGTGCCTCTTGGAGATGAATTGCTCCTCCAGCCTTCATCTATCTAATCCTATGTTGTGTCAGCCTCTCTCCACCTGTCTGTCCTTCCAGCCTTTTCTCAGTCCCAAGAGGAGGGGAGAAAACTCAAAACACAGGGATGCATCCTATGACTTAAGTTTCCTCTAACAACTGAGAAAATATTTGGGGACTCTACTTGGAAAAATAATGCTTATTTCATACACAAATGTTAAATAAAAATTAACACTCAACCATTGTTTTTTAAAAGACAAGGCACTGAGATTTCATCCTGTCCGCCTTCTCTCAGGTCTTAGGGAAAGGACCTGAGGCCACTCAGTGGTCTGGGGACAGTGGGGCTTTTCCACCTGGCTTGCTCTCTGGTGGGGACAGTAGTAGGCCACCACCTTCCAAGAGGCCTGAAGCCTCCTGGGTCCTACCCACCATTTTTGTTTTCTTTATATTCTTCTGTCTCTAGAATTATGCTCAGTGTGGGCTTCATTACTGTAATCCAGTTACTAGCAAAGATAATTCTTTAGCCAAACCACAGGAAACAAGAAGGATACTTATAAAAAAAGAATGTTTTCATATATTTGAGAATATTTTGAGAGTTTGAGCTTCAACCCGCATGTGCCTCAGGCCATGGGCATGGGCCATGAGCAACAGTGTGACTGAGCCCACCTGCCCTCCTGTGTGATTCCCCGAAGCCCCTCTCTGTGCTGGCTGCACCCTCACCCCATGGCACACACATCCCGGCTAGGCCACTCCCTAGTCAAAGGAGTTCCCCAGGCTCAGGCTCTGGTCAGTTTTGTTTTCATTTATTCTGGAGAGTTGGCACAAAATCCAGACCAGCTATATAAACTTGTTTGCTACATGAAAACACAAGGTTGAACTTTGCACTTCTCTGAATTACATACATAAAGCTATAACACATTCAAGAACACTTTCTTGAACTGGGTGGGACAGAAGAATGAGCACAGCACCTGTGAGCCACCCTGCATCCAACTTCCATGTCTGGAAAGGAATAGAGAGCAGTCTGTGTCCCTCCGATTTTGTGTGCCATGCCTCCTGCCCCACAGTCTGCTTAGTGAAAGCTTAAGAAACAAGTCTCTGTATCCCAACCGTACCCCTCAATGGAAGGACGTGTCCAGGCTGCAACTTCCCAGACACCATGAATGAGGCCCCTTCTTGTTTCCACAGTGAGAATGATGCCTCGTCTGAGAATGAGCAGCTGCTGAGTCGAAGCATGGACAGTGATGAGGAGCCTGCCACTGACAAGCAGGGCTCCCCTGAGCTGTGCTTGCTGTCACTGGTCCACCTAGCCAGGGAGAAGTCTGCCACCACCACAAAGTCAGCTGGGGTGAGATTCTGGCAGCCCGGCCATCCACCTTCTGATTTACTGTGCCGTCAGACAGTATGGTATTCCTCCCACAGCCCCATCCAGGAAACCTAGAGGGAGTGACATGTTTAAAACATGATATTTAAAAAATGGAAAACTTATTTCTCATACATAGCTTCATAGAAGACAATGAAAAATAAAACAAAAAGTTAAAAGTATTTTCAATGCCATAGGACAGAAAAAAACCTTTGTAAATTTACTGGCCTATATCCAAACACACATATAATAATTAAATATAACTACATACTTATGTATATAGTATATGTATACCTAACTATATATAGACATATTATGCACATTTTTCATGTGAAAATGCTCCACTAGATTTGTCACCTGAAGCAGCCCACTTTGGAACATACCATGGTAAGGGTGTGGGCAAAGGTGAGCCAAGCCCTGCCTCAGGGTGTCTGAATGTCTAGCATGTGGTTCACTGGCAGCTGAATCCAAGCATCAGGTCAACTAAGTTGCTAGGCAATGATATTCTTGGCAAAAGTGTCCCTGATTGAGAAGCTGGATCTGGCCTGGGTTCTCATGGGGACATCATGCTCTGTGCTGCCCAGTTCAGTGATCTCTGCAGTGGGGCTTGTCACTTGCAGAAGCCTGGAGACCTATGGAGTGCTTATGAGTGATATTGGTTCCAGAGCCTAGGACCTTTCAAGCTGGGCCACTTCTGCACCTGTCCATCATGGGATTCATTTCTTGGCTGCCTGCTGGCAAGCTGGGATCCTCAACATTGATCCTTCCAAACAGACAAATGTTAGATGTGGCCTCTGGTCCTCTTGTGAGTCTAAATCTTCAGTGGAACCTAAGCAGCCCCGCCAATGGGCATTGAAGGTGCTTGACTTGGATAATCCCAGAGAAAGGCTTTCTCTCTGAATTATGGATAAGATGTTCATATGAGGACTTGATTCCACATTTCTGATTAGAAATCAGAGGAGAACAGTTATCTGCCAACACTGAGATGGAGGGCTTAGTTTGTTGTCTGCTACCATTTCCCCCTTTCTGAAAATTAACATTCTCTTTACTTTTTTCATAGATTCAAAGTCGAAGGAAAAAGATATTGGATGTGTATGCCAACGTATGTGGAGTTGTCGAAGGTGAGAATAAGAGCAGTGTTTAGGAAGATACTCACCCCAGGTTTTTCCCCAGGACTTTCTTCTGACCACTGACAATGAGAAGGAGGCTCTGGCCAGAGTCCTGATGCTCCTGGAAGGGGTCTGAAAAAAGTCACCCATCCAACTTGTCATGCTCCTCATCAGGATGAACTGATTTCAGGGTGGAAGGACATGGAATTTGAGTCCAAGCTGTGTTAACACATTTCTCCAGCATTTCCCATCACCCTTCCCTCACAAGATAAGGAGCTAACATTCACCCCAGGGCCTCTCTGGAAAGACACATGGAGTCAGGACACCCAGGTACTCTAGAGAAGGGGCCTGTTGTCTCCTCATGCCCTCCAGATGATATCTCTCTATTGGCATTATCATCTTTGAAATCTTTGATAATTATCATTATCAGTAATAGCTGCCCTTCCCCTCTCCTCTAGCAGCTCATCGTGTATGACAGGAGGTGTCCCCTCATAGAGATACCTTCTTATTTACCCAGGAAATAAAACCTTCATCACTGAGGTCAGGGAATTCTCCCCAGCTTCCTCCAGCCACTTGGTATTGTCTCACTGGCTGCCTCCATGGACTGTCTCATCTGCCCCAGGCAGCAGGAGTAGAGCCTGGCGCCTACTCATTTCTCCACTTGAGCCAAGCCCAGCACACTCAACTCAGAGCAGGCTTGCTGGTTTGCATGATGTCTTGGTCAGAAATAACTACCAAGGGTGAGTTCAGGAGGCCAACAACTCTACTCAGCTGTCTGCTGAAATGTGACATTCCCTAGGGTCACTCTGATCAAGATTACATGTCTGGGTGCCATCAGCTGCCCAGTGGAGGAGGGTCTGAGATTTGTATTCTATCACCCTAGAAAGCTCTTCCCTATTCCAAAGATGTCTTTATTTTAAGAGCCCATACCTGAGGGACAGATTTTTCAAATTAATTTTAGGAAAGAGGAGCCCCTCCAGTGAGAGTGGGAGGGTAAAGAGCCTGAAGCCCTGGGTACTCAGCCACCCTCTCATGGGCAACCCCACGGTGCCACCGAGAACCTTAGACCAGCAGTGCCTAGCCTTGGGTGAACATTAGTTACTCAGAGAGTCTTAACGCTAGTTCCCTCTATGCATCTGCCCCAAGATCCTGATGTAATTAGTCTGGGATGGATCCCAATCATCAATGTCTTATGTTTTGTTGTGTTTTTAATTAAACTTTTTATTTTGAGATCATTGTAGTGTTGAGAGGTGATACAGAGAAATCCTGTAATACTCTTGACCCAGTTTCTCCCAATGGTAACATCTTGCCAAACCATCCCTATAAGGCACAACCTGGACATTTACATGGATACAGTGAAGACAGCCCACTCCATCACCATCAGGATCCCTCTGGTTGCCCCTGTGTAGCCACACCCACTTCCTACCCACCCCACCCCCTCCTTAACCTGGCAACCACTAATTTGATCTTCATTTCTGGAATTTTGTCATTTCAAAAATGTTATATGAGTGGAATCATGCACTATTGTAACCTCTTACAAATGGCTTTTTTTCACTCAGCATAATTCATTGGAGATTCATCCAGGGTGGTACATGTATCACATTTTGTTTCGTTTTATTCCTAAATAGTAGTCAGTGTTAAGGATGTACCACAATTTGTTTAATTATGCATTCATCCATTTAAGAACATCTTGGTTGTTTCAGTTTAGGGCCCTTATGAATAAAGTTGCTGTAAATATTCATGTAGAGGTCTTTATGTGAACATAAATATTCATTTCTCTGGGATAAATACCCAGGAGGGCAACTGTTTGGTCATAAGGAAAATTAGTGTTTAAAAAAACTGCCAAACAATTTTCCAAAATGGCTGTACCATTTGCATTCTCACCAGTGATGGATGAGTCACACAGTTTTTTCATGTCTTGGCCGGCATTTGGTGGTGTTACTGTTTTGTTTTGATTTGTTTTGTTTTTCAGTCATTCACATGGGTGTATATTTGCTATCTCATCATGGTTTTAATATGCATTTCCTTAATGTTTGAACAACTTTTCATGGGCTTATTTGCCATCTGTATATCCCTTCAGTGAAATGTTTCTTCATGTCTTTTGCCCATTTTTCAATTGCATTGTGTTTTGTTTTTTTGTTTTGTTTTGTTTTGTTTTGTTTTTGCGGTAGAGCTTTGGGAGTTTTTAATGTATTCTAGATACTAGTTCTTTGATGGGTCATTTGCAAATACTTTATCCACTTTGTTGCTTGTCTTTTCATTCTTTTAATAGGGACTTTCACAGAGCAAAGTTTTAATTTTGATAAGTCATATTTATCATTTTCCTTTTATAGATTTTTTAAATATCAAAGCTAAGATCTCTTTGCCTAGCTCTAGATCCCAGTGATATTTTTCCATGATTTTTTTCTGAAAGTTTTGTAGTTTTGTATTTTCCATTAAAGTCCATGATAAGTTGAATTAATTTTTTTATTTTCTTTTTTTAATTGATAATGCTATTACAATTGTCCCATTTTTCCCCTTTGCCCCCTTCCACCTAGCACCCCCCATTCCCTCCAGCAATCCTCCCTCCTTTGTTCATGTCCATGGGTCATGCATATAAATTCTTTGAAAACTCCATTTCCTATACTTGTTCTTAACATCTCCCTGCCTATTCTGTAACTACCAATTTGTACTTCTTCATCCCTTCATCTTCCCCTCATTCCCCCAGACCTCCCTCCCAATTGGCCACCATCCCAATGTTCTCATATCTATGATTCAGTTTCTGTTTTGCTTATTTGCTTAGTGTGTTCTTAGATTCAGTTGTTGATAGTTATGTATTTAGTGCCATTTTAATGTTCATAGTTTTGATCTTTTTGTTAAATTAGTCCCATTAACATTTCATATAATAATGGTTTGGTGATGGTGAACTTCAGCTTCACCTTAGCTGGGAAACACTATCTGCCCTTCGAATATACATGATACCTTTGTGGATAGGGTAATCTAGGTTGCAGGTTGTTGTTTTCTATCACTTTGAATACTTCTTGCTAATCCCTCTTGCCTGCAAAGTTTCTTTTGAGAAATCAGGTAACAGTCTTTTTTTAAAATTTTTTAAATATATTTTATTGATTATGCTATTACAGTTGTCCCATTCCCCCTTCCCTCCCCTCCACCCTGCACACCCTCTCACACCCACATCCCCCCCATTCAGTTCATGTCCATGTGTCATAAGTTCTTTAGCTTCTACATTTCCCATACTATTCTTGCCCTCCCCCTGTCTATTTTCTACCTACCATCTATGCTACTTATTCTCTGTACCTTTTCCCCCCTCTCCTCCTCCCACTCCCCTGTTGATACCGCTCCATGTCATCTCCATTTCTGTAGTTCTGATCCTGTTCTAGGTGTTTGCTTAGTTTCTTTTTGTTTTTGTTTTAGGTATGGTTGTTAATAATTGTGAGTTTGCTGTTATTTTGCTATAATGTTTTTTTATCTTCTTTTTCTTAGGTAAGTCCCTTTAACATTTCATAAAATAAGGGCTTGGCGATGATGAACTCCTTTAACTTGACCTTATCTGAAAAGCACTTTATCTGACCGTCCATGCTAAATGAAAGCTTTGCTGGATAGAGCCATCTGTGATGTAGGTCCTTGCCTGTCATGACTTGGAATACTTCTTTCCAGCCCCTTCTTGCCTACAAGGTCTCTTTTGGGAAATCAGCTGATATTCTGATGGGAACTCCTTTGTATGTTACAGTATCCTTGTCTCTTGCTGCTTCTAGGATTCTCTCCTTCATTTTTACCTTGGCTAATGTAATTATGATGTGCCTTGGTGTGTTCCTCCTTGGGTCCAACTTCTTTGGGACTCTCTGAGCTTCCTGGACTACCTGGAAGTCTATTTCCTTTGCCAGAATGGGGAAGTTCTCCTTCATTATTTGTTCAAATCAGTTTTCAATTTCTTGTTCTTCCTCTTCTCCTTCTGGTATCCCTATAATTCGGATGTTGGGTCATTTAAAGATACCCTGGAGGTTCCTAAGCCTCTCCTCATTTTTTTTAATTCTTATTTCTTCATTCTTTTCTGTTTGGTTGTTTCTTTCTCCTTTCTGTTCCACTCCATTGATTTGAATCCTTCCCATAACTATTAGTTCTCTGTACATTTTCCTTTATTTCACTTAGCATAGCCTTCATTTTTTCATCTAATTTTTTACCAAAATCAACCAATTCTGTGAGCATCCTGAGCACCAGTGTTTTGAACTATGCATCTGATAGGTTGGCTATCTCTTGGTCACTTAAAAAAACTAGTTGCAGAGCTTTCAATTCTTTTTGAGCCATCTTCCCCGCCCCCCCCCCCCCCCCGCCTTGGTCTGGTCACATCTGTTATGTATAGGGGGCGGAGCCTTAGGTATTCACCAGGGCAGGGCACCCCAGTCGCTGGATTGTGACGTTGTATGTGGGAGTGGGGTCTGAGAGGGAACAATGGTGCTTGCTCTGCTCTCCATGGGACCTCAGTCCCTTCTGCTGCTTCCCCCGAGCAAACTGGTCCCCTCTGGTGCCAGTCCCCATGTGGGTGGGCTTGTACACACTGTGGGACCCTCCAAGGACCTCTCCTGTGAGTCTGGGAATCTCTCCCTGCACCTCAACCCCCACAGGTGTTTTCAATCAGTGCCCCAAGGCTCTGTTTCCCAGCGCTGGGATCCTGGGTTGCATGCAGTGCTTTGCTTCACAATCGCCGCCTCGCTGGGTCTGCCAGTTGCCACCCTTGGCCAGGGTCTGCCAGCTGCCTCTTGCGCACTCAGGGTCCACCCGCTGTGGTCTTGCACACCCTGGATGCCTTTTATGCCTGGCCCCAATGCTCTCTGCTCTCCACACCCAGCTGCCCGACACCACCCCTCCTACCAGTCTGGATGAACACATGGGTCTATTTTAACTTCTTGATTGTACAACTTTCATTCAGATCAATTTTCTGTCAGTCCTGGTTGTTATTCTATTTCTAAATTGTTGTTGTCTCTATCTTGATTGTGCGAGGAGACACAGTGTGTCTA